TACACCCGTTTTTGGTCTGAGCCCAATAATACGACAAAGGCCTAGCCCATTTCGTTTGATGTTTGATTATTTCCCCCAAAACAGAGTTAGTGCCATCATCATGTCACTGTGCCCATTATATTGAACCTTGCCGTCTTGTACCCCATAAGATTTTTCTTCCGGATAGTTTGAAAAGTTTTTGTAATGAAAAATTCACAATGTGAACTATAAAGCTGCTAACTTATGTACTAATCACTCACATTGACAAAATTGATAGACATGCATGGTCCATGACACAAGATCCCACGAGGATTTATATATAACTACTCCCGCCATTCATAAATATAAGATATTTTTCAATATTCCAATATGGACTATATACAGATTGAAATGAGTAAACAAACACACTAAAACGTGTCTAGATACATTCAATTTAGAAAAAGTTAGAATATCTTATATTTCTGAACGGAGGGAGTAGTAAATATGCATATGCAACGCACATGCAACCATATTTTTTTTCTCTCACTCATCTTAGCTATCAGGCAACATTTAAACAAAAATCAATAAAAATAAGTCTAAGAGCAACTTTTGTAGAATGCCGAAAAAACCGAGCCTTTTTATATTTACTTCAAAGGGGCTCTTTAACAATATTTATCAACTCCAAAGCTAACGTGTAAAGCCTTCATATCCCCCTACCTTTTCATATTTCTCTTCAATTTGTGTATATATACGACTTCTTCTTCATATTTCTCTTTAATTTGTATATATATGACCCCCTCTTCATATTTCTCTTTAATTTGTTATGTAAGACTCCCACTTCATATTTATATGTAATTTGTGTGTGTATGACTCCATTACTACAATTTCACATGAATATGTGGCAAACTTATATATTTCGACGTCACAGAATGTAACAACATTTGAAAGGCATAATTTTCAGACTTCCAACTTCATATTCAAATATAGCATAGATAAGGTGTAGATGCGACACACTACATATGCCTAGACAATGATAGATTCCTAATGCGACACAAATATAGATAGGTTATGATAACTACACATATATAGGAATGCAATGGGACGACATATGATGGCTCGTGGTTGTCGCCATCGTGGGGGGAGGAGGAGGAAGATATCTCTGATGGCAGCGACGGTTGCCTTTGCAGCCTTTCTGCACCTCTCCCACTCGCTCAATGACGGAAGCGGCCATCACGGCCTTGAGCATGCACACTTGTTCGGTCGCGGTTGTAGTTGTGGCATGGGTCTCAACGATCTAGGATTTCGCAAGTGAGCATAATGCAACAAAACTAAGGAGTATGGTGTTTGGGTGACCGGGCTCCATGGAGCCTTTTATTTTTGGAAAATTCAAAATTTATACTTTCTGATTAAAAAAATCTGAAAAAAATGCAACTATACAAGGATGAAATGTATATTCGTGTAAAAATTCAGGATGAAGTACCTTGAAATGCAATATGTACAAAAAAGACAAATTTCTGGAGTTTGAGGTGAATAGTATCATGTGTTGAAAAGCCCTAGATTTGTTTTTTTTTCTTTTGCACAGCCCTCATTTCAACGTATTTTGTCCTGAAAATTTACACACATGTACATTATGCCTCCGTGTATATCTGTATTTTTTAAAGAATTTTTTAAGATGTAAAAACATGAATTTTGAATTTTGCAAAAGGAGGCCTCCATGGAACTCAGCCTCCAAAAGCAAATTTCATAAAATTAAGTCCTTTGTCATTTTTTTTCCTTTGGTTACATAAAAATGTCGCAGCAGCCACCATATGCCAACGTTTTTTCTTTGGTTACATAGATAGATCCATCTCTATGCATATTGTGCGGCAATATATAATAGGTCCGGTGTAACTACTTTCCAAAAAGCCATATACGCTAGTTCATTCTTTGGTTACATAGATAGATCCATCTCTATGCATATTGTGCGGCAATATATAATAGGTCCGGTGTAACTACTTTCCAAAAAGCCATATACGCTAGTTCATTCTTTGGTTACATAGATAGATCCATCTCTATGCATATTGTGCGGCAATATATAATAGGTCCGGTGTAACTACTTTCCAAAAAGCCATATACGCTAGTTCATGTTGCAACTTTTAATTTATGCGACAATAATTTGGTAAAATAGAGAAAAAAGTATCGACGCCTGAGAGATTCGAACTCTCGCGGGCAGAGCCCATGTACTTAGCAGGCACACGCCTTAACCACTCGGCCAAAGCGTCGTCGTTAGAAGGATTCTCACATAATCCTACTCGACATGGTATCCAAAGCATGTCATTGTGTTCTTTGGCCGTCAATTGCTTTTTCTTACAATTCATTTTGCCTCCACATGCCTCACCCGTGTTACCGTGTACACGTCAGCCTGAGGAGGCAAAGCAATGGCTTTCCTTGTACGATTGACAAAAACTGACCACGAGCAGCATCGCCTGACTCCCGGTGACTCGCCACTCGCCAGAGCAAATCGCAGACGCTACAGCTAGCTGCCTTGTGGCAGCAAGCAATGGACTTGTGAGCCAAGCATGCGCGCATGGGGCTGGACGCCATAAACCACCGATCGATGAGCATGCAATTGCTTGGCTTGCAAGAACCGGCCACCGCCACCACCACGTCCCGGCGGAAAACATGGCCGCCACGTGAGCTCACGTTATCCTGTCGCTGCATGCCGCCCTGCTAATTCCAGCCATTAGCTAGGGCCCGGCAAGCAAGAAAGCGCCCGAAAATGGTCGATTGATTTGCCTTTTTCTCATTTCGAGTCGATCGAGGTTAGCCGCAAGCAAATGGAGAGTGCGCCTTCCGAGCCAATGGCCCTGCTATCCATGACTCATGCGTGCCACCTCGGAGAGGGTACTCCCTCGGAGACGATCGCTTCCCAAAGCGGAGTTGAGACCGTTCGTCCAGACACAGGTCCATGTGACAGAGACACAAAGTACACGATGACGAGCGAAGGCAAGGGCAGGCCATGAGGTTCAGATGTGGGAAGAAAACGTGGAGGCTTGCACCACCTCCTTCGCGCGCTTGCGTGCAAGGCTCACGCCGCCGGAAAGGCAACTTGACGCAAGCCGCGTGCCGGCCAGCCCTATATATAAACAACGACCAATCGTACACAGGGCACAGAAGCAGAGCACATTCTCTTCGACTGTAAGCCACTTTACACATTTCGAACGCGCCGGTTCGCAGTCTCGTCGACTGTCATCGTCGGCGGCCAGTTGAGCTGGTTTAGTTCTTAGCCTCTTAGGGAATGGGCAACGTGGTGGAGGCGGCGGCCGCGATCTCGCCGGAGCTCGGCGACGCGCTGGCCAAGGTGGCCGTGTTCGCGCTCGTGCAGGGGCTGGTCTACCTCATCCTGCGCAAGTCCTCGGACGTCTTCTCCACGGCCAGCGCGGCGAGGTCGCTCAGCTTCCGGCCGATGCGGAGCATGAGCGTCCGCCGCGTCCTGGCGGCCTTCTCCGACGTCCCTGTCGGCGTTCCGGATGACGCCGGCTCCTCCGTGACCCCGCAGGCCGGTGATGCTGACCGTGACCGGAGGGCAGACTAGTTGAAGTGCTTTGTGTTGAACTAATGTACGAGTCAGCGGTGCGTGCTTTCTTAGTTTCTTAGCTATCGTTTGTAGTGATTGTTCTTAAGAAAGGTTATATGATGAGCATAAAAAAATTGTGTGTGTACAGTCGATTTAACTGCAATGGATCATTCGATTTTATTTTAAACGAAATATGCTCCTGTTTCTGGCTGCTTATCGGGTCGATATATAGCTGTTGCTTTGTGTTCAGCATGGTTTCAATCTTTAGAAAGGCAGACTCCCCTTTTGCAAGATAGCTCCATATATATGGTCCAAAATACAGCCTCCCTTTGTTTTTTGTATTTTTTTGGGTAGAGAGACAGCCAATATTAGGTGAATTTTGGTAGAGAGACATGTAGAGTTATGTGAGAAATTTTCTAAAAACGACGCTTTGGCCGAGTGGTTAAGGCGTGTACCTGCTAAGTACATGGGCTCTGCCCGCGAGAGTTCGAATCTCTCAGGCCTCGAATTTTTTTCTCTATTTTGCTAAATCTGTCGCATGATTTATCAGAACGAAGATAGTAATAATAATGATTAAAAAGTTGCAACATGAACCGGTATATATGTGCATGATTTTTTTGGGAAATATCCAACTTGTTTTCGCTAATTACACCAGACATATTCTATATTGTCGCACGGCTAAATTTGTAGCATGATTTATCAGGAGGAAAATAGTAATAATAATGATTAAAAAGTTGCAGCATGAACCGGTATATATGTGCATGACTTTTTGGGGATTTTCGCAACTTAAAGATCCAACTTTTTTCGCTGATTACACCTGACCTATTCTATATTGTCGCACAATATGCATAGAGATGGATCTATTATCCCGCAAAGAAAAGAAATCTGTTGGCATATGGGCATGGCCGCTATGACATTTTATATAAAAAGATTCTCACATAATATTGGCTGCCCCCTACCAAAATTGCTTCACTTTGGCCCAAAATGCTGCCTCCCTTTTTTACTGGTAGAGAGACAGCCAATATAATAGGCCCCGCCTCAGTCCTTAGGAGGTTGAGCAATGGTACACTTACAAGCAATTTTTTTACAGACTTAGTCTTACGGAGAGTAATGGCATTAACGGATTGGAGGGAATGGGCCCCATTCCGGGAATTTGGGGTGAGATAAATTAGTTGCTGTCAGCCCTAAATTCTCAAGGTGGCAGCAACTAAGAGACTGTTCGGAAGCTCTCCGATCTTGTAACTCCGCTCCGCGAGGAGCTCGGTTCGAGCAGCTCCCTGCAATTGCACTGGTGCTCCCTCCGCTCCGGGAGCTGCAGTTGGGGAGCGGAGAGGAGCCGAACAGGGCTTAAGTCTGTAAAAAAAATTGCCTGTATGTGTAGCATTGCTCTTAGGAGGCCTATCAAACCAAGTGAAGCCTTTTGCCAGTTAGCTCCATATATATGGACCACATCGCATAGAACCTGTTGAGCCCTTGCAGGTAGCTATCCCATATTTCCCTCAGTTTATCTTTGAAAACCCAGATTTATTTATTTTGTGAAAAGGTCCCCGGATCAATTATAAAGTATCAACAAATGGTACAAAGGACCCAAAGAAACCAGAAATTACATTCCAGTCCACAGAGCACCACACAACTCCAGTTGCCGGAACGTGACGCAGTCATGCCGCCGCCGCCGCATCCTTGCACCCGAAACCGGCCTGACCTTGTAAAGGGCGGACCATCTGGCAGACGGGAAGACTTCGATCTACGGTCTCGAAGGACCAGCGCACCGGTAGAACCGCTGTCGTTGTCGTCGTCGTTGAAGAAAACTGCACCTATCGAGAGGAACCACGAACCACTCCTACACATAGATCCACCGATCCGAAGACAGGCAACCAGACCAAGCCCTGCGCTCCTCAATGTCGACGACGAAACCGCCTCCGGCGAGGTGGAGAAGGAGCCAAGGAAACTTATATATTCTTCTCAACAGTGTCATCACCACCACAGCGCCACCGCAAGAAAACTAACCTAACCCTACGACCTACAACACCGACATAGATCCTGAGTCCCCTTGTCGATGTCAAAACCGGCGGATCTCAGGTAGGGGGTCCCGAACTGTGCGTCTAAGGCGGATGGTAACAGGAGGCAGGGGACACGATGTTTTACCCAGGTTCGGGCCCTCTTGATGGAGGTAAAAAACCCTACGTCCTGCTTGATTATTCTTGATAATATGAATAGTACAAGAGTTGATCTACCACGAGATCGGAGAGGCTAAACCCTAGAAGCTAGCCTATGGTCTGATTGTATGTTGTCCTACGGACTAAAACCCTCCGGTTTATATAGACACCGGAGGGGGCTAGGGTTACACAAGGTCGGTTACAAAGGAGGAGATATACATATCCGTATTGCCTAGCTTGCCTTCCACGCCAAGTAGAGCCCCATCCGGACACGGGACGAAGTCTTCAATCTTGTATCTTCATAGTCCAACAGTCCGGCCAAAGGATATAGTCCGGCTGTCCGAAGACCCCCTAATCCAAGACTCCCTCAGTAGCCCCTGAACCAGGCTTCAATGACGATGAGTCCGATGCGCAGTGTTGTCTTCGGCATTGCAAGGCGGGTTCCTCCTCCGAATACACCACGGAAGAATTTGAATACAAGGATAGTGTCCGACCCTGTAAAATAGGTTCCACAAACCACCGTAGAGAGAATAATATTACCACAAATCTAATCTGCTGACACGTTTTGGCAACATGACATCACGCCACGGCCCCGTAATTATTTGAACCGTTTTTATTTAACCAACCCCGCACATAACACCAGGCGGTTTCTTGACACGTCTTGTCAAAGCAGGGATCGTGTTTCCCTTATTACAGGATTCTCATCAATACGGACGTGGGTAACCCAACCGTACCTAGGACTCCTAGATTTTAGGCAAGTCCCAAACGGCCACGAGGAGGACGCTTGATATTCACCCGCTTTATAAAGGGACAAGTTGTTACTTTTTTCCCTCCCGTGCTCAATCGAATCCCTCCCCCGCCTCGAGTTCTAACACCCAAAGCCAAGGTCAGATGCTTCGGACCTTCAATCATGTCCGGATCCAGCCTTCAAGGTCGGTGGATGTCTTCCTCCGCCATGGAGGAGGACATCAAGAAGTTGAGGGAGGCCAGATATCTGACCGCCGAAATTTCGCATAGGCTGCCCGCCCGAGGGCAGGTCGTCCCTACTCCCGAACCCAACGAGAGCGTTGTGTTCGTCTCCCACTTCCTCCGAGAACTAGGCCTCGCTCTGGATCCCTTTGTCAGGGGTCTTATGTTCTATTACGGACTGGATTTTCACGATCTGGCCCCAGGCTCCCTTCTTCACATCTCGTTATTTATTGTCGTCTGTGAGGCCTTCCTCCGCATTACCCCTTACTTCGGCTTGTGGCTCAAGACCTTCGATGTGAAGCCGAAGATGGTCGAGGGACAGTACGCAGCGTGCGGAGGTGCTTTAATAAGCAAAATTGCTGATGCTCCATGGCCAACGGGTTCCTTTCCAGAGGTGTCCGGATTGTGGCAACGGGAGTGGTTTTACGTCACAGCTCCCCAAAGTGCCAAGTGGGTAGCTTCCCCCACCTTTCGCTCGGGCCCTCCACCACAACTGATGTCATGGATCAGCAGGGGACTGAGCTGGGGTCCAGCCAAGGACGTGCCAATACTGCAGAGCCGTATTCGAGATCTCTTCGAGGGAGATTTCAGTCTGGTTATGGTAATGCAAGTCATGCTGGTTCGTCGAATCCAGCCTTGCAAACGCCGGCCCCTCCATATGTGGGAATTCAACCCAGAAGGACCGCGTACTATTCAGAATTTCCTCGGCATGACGCACGAGGAGATGTACAAATCGTTCTTCGGACCCCAAATAGAGTGTCCGGACACTACCGAGGATGTGGGCCTGAGCAGCAGCCGCACCGCTGCCCAAGTAAGTAATCCCATGGCCGAACACACCGTCCTTTCATTTATCATGACATCATCCTGAAGAATCGCTCTTTGACCAGGACTGGATAACAAAGGCGAAGATGATCCAGTGTTCGGCCCCCCTTCTTGAAGGCTTGGACAATCCGGTGCTGGAAAAGATGCTCGAGCCAGCACCTTGTCCAGTGCCCTCAAAGGAAGATGAAGGGGGAATAAAGAGGGCGAAAGCGGGCCTCCATCGCTACCTATTCCAACCGAGGGAATGAGCGCCTCCGCGAGGGAGGATAACCGAGGGGAAGAATCTGACATTCTCTCTCCCCGGGGAAGGAAGAGGACTACCTCCGAAGATCCGGAAATCAAGGTTTCAAATGGGAGAAGAAATCTCCGCCAGAGGGTCCTGCCTCAGAGGGTGTTCTTGCCGCACAATATCCGCGCGGAGATCAGCCCTCTAACGAGCTGTAAGTAATCAAAAGGTATTTAATAGTGAAGATATCCTACCTTACTTCTGAGGAAAATAACCTAAGTATTTATCTTGCAGTTCGGATCTTAGCCCTTCTCAGCTAAGCTCGTCTTCGGGGGATCTTCTTCCGGAGATGATGGAGAGCGAAACGCCTCCCCCTGCCATACTGCCTTACGAAGCGGGCGACCCTGAGGTGTCGTCGCGGAGGGCTTCTCCTGATCCGGCAAGGCCAGAAGGTAATCCTATGTCCACCCGAAGTCCTCAGTATCCAGCTCTCGAAGAGAGCAATCAAAAGAGTCCAGCACCGTCTGGTGCGCGGTCGGATGTATGGAGGGATCTGCTGGAGAAGGCGGTTATCTCAGAAGAGCACCGCACTTGATGGGTATGGTGATTGAAAGGATTTCGTCCGCTGAAAGCGGGCTGCATGAAGCCTTTATGAGTCTACTGATGGGTTTTGAGGTACGTGAAATGATGTATTTTTTTGAAAGTACCACACATTTTTAGATGTGCCCTGTGTAGATAGTAGCCCCTGAGACTCTGGTTGTCGTCGAGAACGGCGGAAAACAGAGGATCATAGTCCCAGGCAATAACCAGACTGCCTTTATGTGCAGGTGGTGGAGGCTCCGGTG